GCATGGCTAAGTGGTTAGGGCGCTCGACTCGCAATCTGGGGGTCGCGGGTTCGAACTCCCCGTTCCCACCAAATATGCTCGCCCTTTCACGCCGTCGGGGACGTTATAATGTGACGGTCAATCCCACTATTCGTTGGTAAAAGAGTAGCCCAAGAGTTGGCGGTGGGTGGTGATGACTAGCTGCCTTCCCTCTAGTATTACGCTGCTAAATTAGGGACGGCTAGCGCAGATAGCCCTCCTGTAGCTTTGCGCGAAATTCAAAAACAAACAAACAAACAAGAACGGGTGGTATCTTAAAGGACTCGTTGTTTAGTTAGCCTAATAATTGGGCGCAAAAAGTGTATTAAGTACAGAGTCCTTCGGGTAATTACTATTTAAAATGAAAATTTTAATTTGTTTATTTTAAAGAAAGTTTTTTTTATTATTTCTGCTAACAATTAACACAATAATATGTTCTTACAAACATTAGGAAATGATTACTTTAATATCTCGTGGGTGATTCTAATAACACTCAACAATTAGTGGTTTGTGAAACATATCAGCTTCAATATCACAGTATCTTGATTTCTTTACCAAAATACCAGGCCATATAAGCTATATATATCTCATCAGTTTATTATTAAATGTTATTTTAGAATTATTTGGTTTTTTTGTAAAGCAAAGCCACATTGGACTATCTGCCGCGTCCATCACAGGGAATCGAACCTTGGAGTTTTTTGCGTTGTAAGTCTGTCAACTTACCGCTAACAAAGTGGGGTACATTTTAGAATTAAAATTTGTCAAAATATTAATAACAATTTTCTATGTAAAAGACTTACACCGAAGTAAGAAAAAAATCTGTCTATCGATATGTATCTATATATCTATAAAATATATATATATATATATATATATATGTTCTAAACTTATTAGTTACTAAACAGCAAATTTTGTGTTAAAAACCGCATCTTAAATGAACCAGGCTGGAACTATTGTTAATTAAGATCAACTCCATAGCATAAGTGTTAAATACGTTAGAAAGTTCATACGGAACGTCCTGGGTATTAACTATTGTAAAATTAACAGATGTAATAACACATAGGAAGTCACGTCCAAAGACATTAAAAACACGCACTGTGAAGATTTAAGTTTAGAAAGAACGTTTGAATCTTCTTGGCGTAACATATTACTTCTTTGATAAAAGGTTTCAGCAAATATTAGAAAAAAGCTCTTAAACTCGCTATTGGTAGGTCTATTACTTCCTGAAATAACAGGTCTTCTGGGACAGCTTCATTTACATAGCGTTTTTATACAATTCCTTTCAGATCTCTAAAATATCTTGAAAATTGGGGTTTTGAAAAGCTTATATTTATACTTTTTATTAGGGCTAATATTATTAACAATTTTTAGTTAAAAGGTCAGTTAAATTTTCACTAGCCATCACATGATAAGATTTCCCAGACAATTATAGAGCATTGCCTTAAAAACGACCTTAAAAAGTAGTTTAAAACAATTAAAATCGTAATATATTTTAGAAAGAAGATAGCGAAAGGAAATTAATTGTAGTTTTGTTATTTTGTTACAACTAGTTCATTATTATACCAATTTGTTTATTTATTTGTAGAATTTCAGCAAACACAAAACAGAAACATTTAGTATCCCAGACGTTATGTGTAACTTGTAAGTTAAACGATGATTTGATTAGTGTTATGTACACCCATGTATCTCAATAGAATGACATTAAATAAAACTAGAAGCATTTATATTAGCATTAATTTAATAATAACTATAAAAAATATGCTGTGATGTTTCTAGTAAGAGAGAATTAAAATCTTAATATTTTGAGCAATCCTATAAAGACCTCGTTCAATAAAGTTCTTTCGCTATTAATTAAAAAACATCAACAAAAAACGAAGAGTAAATACATGCAAGTCTATCAAGTACTCCACTCGATGGGATCATTACTTTTGAATATAGGCTTCAACTTTGATCAATATGGGTTCTGCTTTGATCAACATGGGTTCTGCTTTTTATCAACATGGATTTTGTTTTGATCAACACTTGTTCTATTTAGATCAACATGGGTTCTGCTTTTGATCAACAAGGGTTCTGCCTTGATCAACACGGGTTCTACCTTGATCAACACGAGTTCTGCCTTGATCAACATGGGTTCTATCTTGATCAACACGGGTTCTGCCTTGATCAACACGGGTTCTACCTTGATCAACACGAGTTCTGCCTTGATCAACATGGGTTCTATCTTGATCAACACGGGTTCTACCTTTCATATGCACTTCCAAAATACATTTATGTGTCGTTTTATAATGAAATCCATAATTTATTATAATTAGATCTAGAACTGGATAAAATAATGTTTTGTTACTAGCTTCCTTGCTTGTTATATCTCTGTAATAATCTTGTGTAATAATAATCAACACACGTGGATGCATACACACAAACACAAGTCAAATCTCTACGGACAGTGGGAAGTTGTACTTTATTTACAAAATGTATGCGTTATTTTAAAAGGATTTTTACCCCATACTTATAATCTGCTCAATCATTTCATTTTGCGCGTTGTGTGTATTTTGTTATAGCAAAACCACATCGGGCTATCTGCTGTGTCCACTGCGGGAAATCGAACCCCGGATTTTAGCGTTGCATGTCCGTAGACTTACCGCTGTCCCACCGGGAGACATTTCATTTTTGTAGTCATCCTAAACGTTAGATAATTTGGTCTGAGTGTTCATAAAATCCATCTCATTCTCTTAAAAAAAAAAGCAGATCCTAAAAACCTTAAATGCCGAGACAAAGGAATAAAAAAAAAGTACAAAATAAAACAAAAATGTATTGTTTTGTTGAAGTAGCAATAGCATTGACGTTTCTACATGAGAGAAGCTTAAATTTTTTTTGTCGATATAGCCAGACATTTAAATACCGACGTTACTATTAGAAAGCTCTAAACTTCTACACGTCCACTTTCGAAGTAGAACCAACATGTTTAAAGAAGAAGTACTTATTACAACTTCATAAAAAGCAGTAATAAGACAACAGTATTATAATTCACAAGTGGTTAAAGAATTAACAAAACAGTTATATTCCGTCCCTTGAGAATGACAAGCTTGACTTGTCGAAACTATTCGGGAGTTGTTTTGTATTTCTTGTACGTTTTGCTAATTCTTGAAGCATTTGAGCGTTAATATGTTGTTGTGTTGTTACTGTTTTTTATAGAGCCGATGTTGTCACAATTCAAGAGCAGACTGAAATTCCATAAACGTGAATATCGAATTATTATGTCGTTGCTATAATATAAATCAAGTCTTCTTTCAGAGTATCGTTTCTTATGACTGGGATAGTCGGACTGACATTTTATGCCATTTGTTAATTAAGTGAGCAAACATGTTATCATATCACATTTAACACATCCGAAACGCGGAGAGAATCTGAGTGCTAAAGTTAGCTAAATAGTCTGAAACTATTCGAATGAAATAACATCAGTGTTTAAATATACGTATATACAAACAATATACCAATACACGTCACTTATCGCTTGCGGGATTTTATGTATCCTCTATCAAGCTGATTACATATTGCGCTGGCCTGCTGGTAGCATGGTGAAACTGAGCCTTTTTTCGTTACCATAGAAATGATCTTCTATCCTGCCATGCTGTACATGTTAACATAACTCCCTGTTTCTATACTGCTCAATGTTTATACACTGGTTGATACTGTTTTAATACCTTCTAGCTGATGTACCTGTTCAACGCAAGAAGAAGAAATATATATGTGTCAGGGGGATGACATAGGTGGCTCAGGTCCGTACGTTGAACCTCCCCTTTGTCACTCCCTGGGAGGCCTTAAGTGTACATGCCAGGTTTTTGACAATCGATCCGGCATTTCACCAATTATTAAAAAGGCTTTAAAAAGACGTAGGAGCCCACTGGGTGTGGCATAGGAGGGTCAGTTCCGAACGCCGACCCACTTATGTCACTCCCCAGGATATCCTAAGAGTACAAGCCAGGTTTGGTGATAATCAGTCAGATCTTTCGCAAATTATAAGGGTCACACACACACACACACACACATTTTTGTCAAATATTGACTTATATTAAAAATAATACTCACCTTTTTTACGTTTCCACAAATACCACGCTGCAACCAAAACAAGACCACAAAGTATCATTGTGACTATAAAAGTGGCTATCACGATTCCGGCAACTCCACCGGGAGAATAACAGAGTTCTTTAGCGGCATTGTTCGGCACCACCATCAACCCTACCACTAGGAAAACCGAGATTATACGATTGAGTCCAACACGCCCCATTTGACGTTGTCCTACAGAAAAACACAGCTTGTTATTAGCAATAATATTTAGTAAGTAAATCAGCACAAGATACTTGATGTAACTACCGGTCTTACATTATCTGTCAATTAGAGATTTAAAAAAAATCAATATCTTGATATTGGTGAGTTTTGTTATGAAAAGTACACGCTTTACTGTACATGTATATTACCGTAGCAGCGATATCGAGTATTGGTCGAAGTTGCAGGCCACCAATGGAAACAGTCTGGAGGCTTCGTGGATCAAAATTAGTCATCCATGGGAAGTGTCAATTCAAAACAAATTATCCAACCATAGTTATAACTTGATTTCTTAATACTACGTGGAGCTGTCAGCCCACATGTGAAGTAGTTTACATCAGCTTGCTTCAAAATCTCAACATCATCATTATGTACTTGTTGGAAAACTCTGAATCCTGTTTTATAATTACTAAACGTGCATGGGTTCATGTCGTTTTAAATTCACGCAACAACGCTTCGCTACCTGTCAACCGTGCGCATGCGCCGTTAACTTTGTTTTTAGTTCACCAATCCCATTCATAAAGCTTTATGGGTGCGTTATGCATTTTATATTGTTTAACTTTTACTAAAAAAGTGAAGGGGGGTATATCTTAATATTTACCGAACAGTCAGTTGAGTATTTGAGTATCTAAATCATGGAATTTGGGGTTTCTTACTTATTTGTGAATATCGAAGACCGTAAGTTTTGTTTATATTTTAAATATAGCAATTTAGTAAAATGTAAGTAAGCTTACTTATAAACATATAAAGTTATCAGATTTTCTATTAATACACCAGTCGAAGTACGAGTGCAAGAAGGGAGTGTGAACTTATGACATTTTTCATCTAAGTAATGTTTTTTTGTAATTAAGTACAAAGGTACACAATGGGCTATCTGTGCTCTGCCCACCACGGGTATCGAAATCCGGATTCTAGCTTTGTAAATCCGCAGACATACCGCTGTGCCACTGTGAGGCCTAGATAATGTATTCACTGCTGTTCTGTAATAGTAATTCTGTGCTAAGAAATATAACCAAGTTTTTTGTTTCTTCGTTTTCCTATTGGACAAGTCTGAGGGCGTGCACCCATTAATTACTTTTTTTATCATAATTTCTGAGACTGTGAATCCAGTTTCTTGTGTTGCTTAACTTCAATATGCAGACTGTGTAATACAACGTATTTGATCCACCCACCTCCACCTACATTACAGACACCAACAAGTAAACAAGAGTCGCGGTCCTGTTTCCGCTTTAAAACTAGTGGTCTGGAACGTTGCATTTAGATACATAGCGAATAGTGTCCGCAAGAATTAGTAAAGCAATTTCCCGTGCAACATTGTTGTAATAACAGATACAATAACATTGAAAGAATACTTCGATTATCATTACAGTTTGATTCAGGTGTTCTTCTTTTGTTAAATATTCATTGTAGTATTTTAATCTAGATTATATCAGATTCACATTAAAATAAACAAGGTTTGTAAATTTATTCCTAGTTTGAAAGAGCGGGCGTAGCTTAGTGGTTAGATACCCGTACTGTAAATCCAAAGTTGTTACAAAAACACTCTACGTTTTGGGACAGGAGGCGGACTCTATAAAAAAAAATAACGGTCAAATCCTACTATTCGTTATTGACTACAGCTATTAGTCAGCCCTTCCATCTAGTCTGTCAGTTACAAATTAAGGGCAGCAAAGTGCAAATATATATTATGTGTAGATTTATGCAAACATTCTGAAACAAACGACCCGTACGGTGCAGCGCCATCTCTGCACAGAAAGTGAAACTAAGTTATCGTTTTATAATGCCTTGACAAAGAAAAATATAATAGATATAGATTTGAAGGATGAACATCTTGTAAAATTAGTCATGCTGAATTTTTAAGTACTGGTAATATAACGTGGACTTGCTCACAGTATTAATTTAAAGGAATAAATACAAATATTACGTGTACACAAAGGAATAAATTTAAAAAGACCTAAAATTATTATAATGTTTCCACATGATATACATATAACAGGAATACTTATATTACGAAGATAATACAGATGCGTTTACATATAAAAGCTTTCTTTTAAATAATACTTGCTAAATATAGTGTGATCGTCATAAAAAAAGGGTAGAGAATTTACGTGTGTCACATTTCATTTCCTTATTAGACATCTCGATAAGAAACGGGATCAAGCTTGCAGATAAAAAATAAAATAAAAATAGCACACTAGTAGTTTTTCAAATAATAAAATATTTAGCCCTTTCTCTAAACAATGCTCTAAAGGATTGTTTTTTATAGTTGACAACTTCACTTGTGACTGTTCCAAGGGTCCTTTGAGAAACTTCAGGCTTTAAAACGAGTGGGAGTAACAAGTAATAAGATTCAAACATTTAACCTAGAGCATGGACCATTTTTTCTTTAGCCTTTTCCCTAAACAATGTTCTAAAGGATTGTTTTTTTATAGTTGACAACTTCACTTGTGACTGTTCCGAGGGTCCTTTGAGAAACTTCAGGCTTTAAAACGAGTGGTACTAACAAGTAATACGATTCAAACATTTAACCTAGAGCATGGACCATTTTTTCTTTAGCCTTTGATTTAAGTCTACAAACATAGGATTCTCGTGTCAAAATAAACATATCATTTAATAAATGTCTAACCATATTTTGAAATGTGTAGATAATCCAGGATTTTTTTCTCTGTATAGAACAACCGTATCACATCCTTTTGCTAAACACACTATCTCCAACCATTTTTTTTAGGAGGTGATGGCTATGGTATGCTCAACTGTTGATGGTAATGGCGTCTTGGTACTTGTTGAACAATCCGCAGCTTACAGTGGCTCGTGGAAGTCACTGATGGAAGTAAGAGCTCGATATGTTATCATCTTGATTGGTTCAGCAGCAGCTTTCGGATCTAAGGCAAAAAGTGTTTCTTTAGTTACTATAGACTCATGAGGTTTAAGTTCGGGTACTAGCCTAGGATGGTTAGTACTCTGACAGGTTTTTGGTGGATTCTCTCATAAAGCAGAAAATAATCCATAATGACAATTGATTTGAGGTTATCCACTGGCTTATGATACAAAAACAAGGATTCTGTAAGGGATTTTGTCATCCATCTATGACAAAAGAAATTCCTCAATGTTCATCATTTCATTCACCCACTAAAGGTTTCCAACAAGCGTGATCAGGAAACATGGCTTTTTATAGCGTGGATTAAGCCGGAAATTTCAAGTCAACTTAGTTTCTGATAGGTGATCAGAACAGTTAGCAGTGTAGGGTTGAATGTTACAGATAATCAGGCTGTGATCCACTCTTCTAAGAAAAGTCACTAATCTTGATGTAGTGTATATGCTATTCCTTACAGTAAGAGTATGGAATGCACTTACCCCTCTACTGCAAGAACACTCTGCCCTAAGCATTTGTGAACGTTTAATACACCAAACTCTATGAAACATTGCATATACAGCTATATTATTCAGGCCCCTACTAAACAGGCAGTGACAGTAATGTTTGATAAATACCACAGCTGCAAGTAGTTCCTTCTTAATCATATATAGCTATATTATTCAGGCCCCTACTAAACAGGTAGTAGCAGTAATGTTTGACGAATAACACAGCTGCAAGTAGTTCCTTCTTAATCATATATAGCTATATTATTCAGGCCCCTACTAAACAGGCAGTGGCAGTAATGTTTGATGAATAACACAGCTGCAAGTAGTTCCTTCTTAACCATGTACAGTTATATTATTCAGGCCCCTACTAAACAGGTAGTAGCTGTAATGTTTGACGAATAACACAGCTGCAAGTAGTTCCTTCTTAATCATATGTTACTGGTGTTTTGGAATTGCATACACGGTTACACATTCCATGCCATCTACTATCTGTAGAAATACTGATCCAATTCCATTATCAATGGTATCAAAATTTAGGATGAAAATATGGTCTTCATTAAGTTAAGTCAATAAGTCAATACTGGATCATTGATACAGTACGTTTTAAAGGCAATAATGTTTGCTGATATTCTTCCTTTTATCCAAAATGAACACAAAATTTAGTCAATGCCATCAGTAGTGTGGTTATCCCATAGTAATCAGACACAAACCATTTATAGTACCACTTCAAACCTAAAAAGTTGCAGACTTCGTATTTAGTCTGTGACTAATTGTTCACTTCTGTGATGTTTACAGTTTTAGTGTTTCCATGATTTATTTCTTGTTGATTGAGAAATTCCATGTCCCTGCACATTATCACACACACACATTCCTTGTTTAAATTTCAAACTTCCATTATTTGATGAACTGAAGATATTTTAATTATCAATGATGACCTGAAACATCAACCAAGAAACCAAATGTCATCTACAAACACCTTTCTCGATATGTTTCTCTCTAAATATAAGATACATCAGCCATTCAGAAGTGCAGGTGTATTACACGGACCAGTTGGCATCGTGTAGAACTTATAGACTTTTTCAAGTGATAAAACAGTCTAAGGTCCACTTTCATCATTCAGTTTCGATTTGATGGTAACCACTAACGAGATGTTGCATACTCAATTAACAAGTATTTCAACACATCCGTACGTTCATCCATCTATGACAAACTAAATATATATGTGTGCCATTTCATTCTCCCACTAAAGGTTGTAATGTTCCATTCTTCAACATCAAATTAATATTAATTCTGGTAAAATCTTTATGGTGTTCTCATAAAGCTTTTACATTGTTTATTTTGTTGGGCAAAATAGTCTGTATCTATGTAATTCTTAGCAATCTCAGGTGCTCAGGAAGCTCTGCATTCACTTTCAGACACAATATAGTTTCAGTGTTACTAGTTACATGGCTGAACTACATCGCTTTGGCTCCAGTACCATTCTAATAATTATTTCAGCTGAAAATTGAAAAGTCCAATTTTTGTAATTACAGCACAGAACTGGGGTGAGTGCAGCCTAGTATCTGTTTATAAAATAATATGTATTTTGCCTCAATTTTATAATAACTGTAGACTGTAACACTAGACTTCGTCTTCAGCACATCACAGAACACTACTTCCACCTTCAGAAACAGTCCACTGTAAACTGGTTCAATCCGCTTAACACATCATGTGGGTTCCACAGAACTACAATTTATCTGTTGCATAAGTGCAACTGGCTGAGAACTTCTGTAGTAGGTTCATCCCAAAAATACTCATCAAAGACAATAATCTTTACTTGATAAGTGACTGTGCCAAGATGAAGGTGGATAAATACCTCTCCACTCGTATCGATCATGTCTGACCATTTGTAAGAATGAAGGCCAGAATGGTGGCTTCACTGTAGGTGAATCACGAAAAGGAATGTCACATATGGCCTTGACTGCTTCATTTGCCACTAGAAACTCAGCCTCACCTCTGTGTATCATTCCAGGTAAATATCATATAATTCCAAGCTCATGGATGTCTGAACCAGTTACCACTCCTCTGAGTGCATACTAAATG